AAGACAAGAAGAGCTCTGATGCTGGAAGACAGGGTAAAAGTGGTCAAAATGAAAGACGGAGCAAGCAAAATAAAAGACATTATCCAAGAAATTGAGGTAAGTGAAAGTGAATGCTGATCGTAAATTTCGCAATTTCTTTCCCTTTTTTTTCTTTCTACACTGACAATATCAAGTGTCAGATCAGTGTGTGCTCATACTTATGCACTATTGGAATAAAAATAGAGTACACATACGTTTGTGTGTGCGTGTACACATACGTTTGTGTGTGTGGGTGTGTGGGTGTGTGTGTGCTTACATCTGATATCAAATTTGCTACAGTGAAAAACCCCCTGTTGTGAAAAATTTCTTGCTGCAAACATGATTTCGTTGTAGAGGAGTTTCACTGTAGTTCAGATTGATTTCTGTGGCAGATCTGTCAACAGCCCCCTACGTAATTACTCACACATGCAGAAATGGATGCAGATCCTGAGCGCAGGCGGATATAAGTCATCAGTGAACAAAGTGAAGTTACACTCCAGGTATTGGTCATTGGAGCATTTGTGTAATTTCATAGTCCTCAATTACTAATACTGCTTAAGCTACAATGGCATGTCATTCGTGAAAAATGCCTAACTTCAGATAAGCTATTAGATTCATGATCGAGTTTGTAGCCGGTTGAGTGTTTGAGTAATTTACAGAAACAGTCAACCAAGTATCCACTGTGTGTAACTGAGCCATCATTAATGAATCGTTTTAGAATTTTTCTGAACCCATAAATTATTCAATCTCTTACTTTTTCCCCAGTCTTAATACACGTACATATATCCACTATCAGGGGTTATAATTCACCACCTATTGGTGGATGAAAGGCCGTAGTGGTGAAATAAAAAAGGGGGGGTGGAGGGAGAGGTTTCCATCTACCTCATTGAGCAGAAAGAAACACATTGTCACTGTCCTGTAGATAAACATATCTTCATTTGGACACCCCAATAAAATAAAAATGTAACAAATAACAAAAATGGACATACATGTTTTTTCACATGACAGCAACGATATACTTATCAGTGGAATCACAACCATTCATTCTAGTAGTCTGAGTAGGACATTTCCACAAGACACCGCATGTTCTTCTGTTTGACAAAAGCCAAATCTTCCCTGATGACATGACCTAGGAAGAGCAATTGCGAAAACAGGGTAAATTGCTCGAACAAATGATTTCCTTCTTGTGGGGTGGAAGGGAAGGTCATCTTTTCTACCGCCATTAGTTGAACAAACTTAATTAAAAGGCAATTAAAAGCACACACAGACTAAATAAAGGGATTGAGAGTGGTATGGGACCTGCCAAAGAAAGGGGAAGACAGGATAAGGGGCTTACCACGACAGAAGGGGGAGGATCCAAAACTACACAGCACCCGTGACACAGCAAAGCAAAAAGTGAAAAGGGACTACAGTGAAACTCTTCTACAACGAAATCATGTTTGCAGCAAGAAATTTTTCACAACAGGGGTTTTTTCACTGGAGCAAATTTGATCTCAGATGTAAGCACACACAAACCCACACACACCCACACACACAAACGTATGTGTACCCGCACACACGAATGTATGTGTACTCTTATTTTTATTTCAATAGTGCATAAGTATGAGCACACACTTATTTGACACTTTATATTGTCAGTGTAGAAAGAAAAAAAGGGAAAGAATTTGCAAAATTTACGATCAGCATTCACTTTCACTTACATCAATTTCTTGAATAATGTCTTTTATTTTGCTTGCTCCAGCTTTCATTTTGATCACTTTCACCCTCTCTTCCAGCATCAGAGATCTTGTCTTAGCTGCTTGACAATGGTCCATTTTGTAGCCATTTTAGCAATGCAACGTCCATCCTCGTCTGAATCTAACAATAACAAATACTTCCTGGCATGCAATGAACTTTTAAGCCAGCCACGGGACACTTCTATGGCCATAATTAGCCCTCGAAGGCTAAAAACCTTACGCTAACTGGAGCGCTTCTCTCTCATTAGCGCTCCAGTTAGCGTAAGGTTTTTAGCCTTCGAGAGCTAACTATGGCCATTGAGGACTACGAAGCATCCTGTGGCTGTTTTTAGCATGATAACAGGTAAAGCATTCGAGGAAATGTTCGTTTATTTGAATGTCCGTCGAGCCATAAGCAATTTACTCTGAGCAGCTAATCGGATGCTATGGATCTAGCTTCAGTATCTACACACATAGACAGTGAGGTCCCTCTTGGCCAATCGGAGGCCAGGATGATGCTCGGTAAGCCAATAGCAGAGCAGCTATGAGTATGTTGAGTCCAGGAAACTCGCAGCTCTGACCGAAATAAACATCGTTCACTATGTAAACCAGTGCAGTGGTTGCTGTTGCCGTTTTTCGAACGAAGCAGTCGAGGTCGCTGTTGGATAAGACTTCGTTGTAGTGAGTGTCTTCGCGAGGCTGGAGCAGAGAAAATGATTTCGTATAATGCAATAGGGGGGTTTTCGTCGTATGGGCGGCAGGAGAATGGGAATTGTGTTAATGCATTAAGATTTTTTCACATAAGGTGGTATTTTCGCCCATGTAGGTTTCGTTCTAGAGGAGTTTCACTGTACAACCAGGGAACCGTTGCTGCACCAGGGCCCTCATCACCTGTCAAACAAAAAGAAACACACGCTTAAAACATGCAATTATGGCTGCCCCGTACCACAATCAACAAAATGTAACATTTACCCCAAACCAAAATAACTCAAGACTCAACAATGTTAAATTGAGATAAGACAATTTACAAACAAACAAATAGAAACCCAATTTACAGCAAATTTTACAAAAAAAAAAAAAAACCCACAAGAGAAAGAATGATCAAATCAAATTTATCAGAGCCTGCAACATTGTTAAAAACCAGCTGATACGGTACAGTCTAGACCAGGGGCCCCCAACCTTTTTTGCCCCACGGACCGGTTTATGTCAGACAATATTTTCAGGGACCGGCATTTAAGGTGTGGCGGAAATAATACAACGAAATAATATGGTATGAGCTGCATGAAAACTGCGGCATTTTCGAAATATAATAATAAACACAAGGAGCGTCTAATCTGTCCGCAACACTCCGATCACTATGGCAATGTTTAATGCCTTCGAAATACGATACAACGCAAATTCAAAGTGCATGAAAATGACGACTCACCACTGCACCGAATTTGATTTTCTGCAACCAGACGGTCCCATCTCGGGGTAATAGGAGACAATGACACCTCAAGTGTGTGGTTTATGTCCAGTCTACTTCGTAATTTTGTTTTCGTCGCCGTTGCTGCTGAAACCCCCCGCCTCACACAGGTAGGATGTCGGAAATAGCAACAGTGCTATTGTGGCGATCTCAGAGTATTCACTCATAACTTTCATCCAGTTGTCTCGAACGTACTATTAAGGCCGCCGTGATTTGCGATCTCCAGCAGTTTTTTTTACTCATTTTGCGAGCTCCTGCGTTTTGTTTTGAAGTAATCGGTCACGTGACGGAGAAGGGTGGCTTGACGTGTGTCAAGCGTGACACAGACGGATGTAACGGAGAATTCGGTAGTTTTTCAAAATAAAACATCTTTCGTATTCCGAAATAAATAAAACGGAATTCAGGCAAGTTCTTTCTGTGCGGCCCGGTACCAAATGCCCGGCGGACCAGTCCGCGGACCGGCGGTTGGGGACCCCTGGTCTAGACACCTCGCTTGCAACTGTAGGGAAACGCTGTGGGAGCAGTTTCCACCACCACCTACGACGCCGAAAGTGGAGGGAGAGAGCCCAACACTTAAAATGGCAGTTTAAGAATTGTGTCCAGTATTCATGAGCCAAGATAGCAGCCTGCCTCACAACAACGGCGGCAGCAGAATAGCTGCACATTGTAAAACAAACAAACCAATCCAAATCCAAACTTGGAAATGTACAATTAATTAAAACTATAACATTTCCTACCGGAAAACAGGTGCGCGTGTCCAGCAACAGCAGGAGGAAAGCTCAGCCCAAACTTGACTCGTGACGGCTGGGAGAGAATTAGTATAAATTTTCTCAACAGACCATCAACGGCAAAGTGTAAAAAGTGCAGACGACTTGGCGTTTTAGCGCAGGAAGAGTACCACGCTCACGCGGAACACCTTAGGTAGTCCCGCTCCCTGTCACACCGCGCTGAGGTAACTGGGCGAAAACAGGCAAAAACAAAAGTATAGCGCCCAGTGCCCGAAAGGATAAAAATGAACAGCGCACACATACCTTGTGGCGAAACCCAACACCACTCTGCAACATACAAGCACACGTGTCTGCCGACTCCGAGAATGAGGAAGAGAAAGAGGAAGTTCCAACCAGGTGTACAGTGAAACTCCTCTAGAACGAAACCTACATGGGCGAAAATACCCCCTTATGTGAAAAAATCTTCATGCATTAACATAATTCCCATTCTCCTGCCCCCCATACGACGAAAAACCTCCTGTTGCGTTATACGAAATCATTTTCTCTGCTCCAGCCTCGCGAAGACATTCACTACAACGAAGTCTTATCCAACAGCGACCTCTACTA